GGTAATACTTGTAATGGAAATTTCCTTCAAATGAAGCGTTGTGAAGTCCAACATCAACTCTTCAGATGCTTCATGGCTCTCCAGTTAGAAGGAACTGCTAACAATGTATTTGCTATACACGTCAATGGTCCTTCATTATCTTTCTCAATAAGGGAGTTTGCGCTTATGACTGGCCTCAAATGTGTTGGTAACGATGCTGATTTTGAGTTCAGTGAAAATGTTCCTAACTGGCTTATTGAGACTTACTTTGGAGGTGCCAATCTTGTCAAGAAGAAACATTTGATGAAATGCTTTGCTGACAAGAACTGGGGTCACGACAACGATGGTGATGCCTTGAAGATAGCTTTGTTGTATTTCATACACACCTTCATTTTTTCATCCGAGAAGAACATCACAACCATACCAAGGCTACATTTTGACTTGGTCGAGAGTGGGCTCTATTCTGAGTATCCATGGGGTTTAAAAGCATTTGAAACGCTGACAAAATTTATTAGCAAGAAGATGGATGCTCAGAAGAAGTATTACAGGATAGCTGGGATGCCCCTAGCTATGCAAGTGTGGTTTTATGAGTGCTGTTCAAATGTTGATCCCAAAATTGCACTCCGAATTGATAACGTAGTCCCCAGAATACTCAATTGGAGAACCGCCGGAAATCAACCAAACTTTGCTTATCTGATGAACAGCATGTTCAATGACAAGGGAAATATGGTAATATACAATTTGTATCGTGGCTACTTTACAATTTACTAATCATTAATGCTGCATACAGTTGCATACAGTTGTTGCATACATCTACATACAACTGAATACAGTTGCTACTATGCTCATTAGTACTGCCGCATATTTGGTTAATTGAAACTTCAATACAGTTGTTGTTGCCTTCATTAATATAGTTGAATACAGTTGCATATGATTTACTAATCATTACTGCTGCCTTCATTTGAATACAAATTACATTTTGATTCCAGTATTAAAATACATCCATTGTAGTAAGACTTTGATTGTATTTCGTTTTTTAGATTGTTTACAAGGACATCCCTCCAACCAAATATAGAGCTTGCCGTTATTCAGATTCCTCCAGTAGGCGTTGCTGTTGAGAACAATCCTACTCCTACTCATTCAGACAAGTCGGCAGAGGATTCGGATGACTTTTCTCCTACACCTGATCTCCAGTGTAAGAAGAAACATGCTGCAAGTATTGGTCCATCTTCATCACCGCCCCGTAAAAAGCGCAAGGAATAGAATATTCATCCCTCAAATACAGCTCCAGTTGCTGTATCTGAAATTGCACAAAATATTTTGCATCACAATCAGCTGGCAGATTCCAAAAATGATGAAGTATCTTCTTTGAGGAAAGAACTAAATTCATTCAAAGAATACGTGAGTTTTTTATCACATTAAACATTACAGTTTAGTGCTTAACATTCGTACGTGTACAAATGCACCTTTCTAATTATTTCTGTCTTGCTAAGGTTGTGGGCGAGTTCAAGTCTCTGAGATCATTGATCAATAATAACTTTAAGATGCTTGCTGACAATCTTCAACACAATCAGCAAAAAGAAAGCTTACACCATAGAAAGGAATCCACAGAGACACGTGATGATGGTATTGAAATGCCATATGAAGCCAACTTGCAAGATATTCCAAAAGGTCACAGACAGACTGATACACTAGTCGGCGATAATATTGAGGTTTAACATTTTTTAACCTCTTTAGTATATGTTTAGATCTCCTGTTTGCTCTTGTTATGATTAATCACATATAAAACAATTTTGTAACATTGTGAAGTACAAGTATATACAGAATAATTCAGTATTTTAAATTATCTTAATCCTATATGCATCTGTATTTCTGTTGTAATTACTTAAGGAGATTCATTGAACATACTTCTAACATGTATTCAGATGTATTCTTAAGGAGATTCATTGAATATAATTCTAACATGTATTCAGATGTATTCTTAAGACATGTATTTAGATGTATTCATTGAACATACTTCTAACAATGATGCATACGACTAACAGAATACAGTGGTTAATGCTCTTTGTGTGGAGTCAAGAGTGAAGGGGAATACTACATCAGAGGTGCCGTGCAACTTACCACCTATAGGCCAAGAGGGTGTATCTACTATGTATCTCAATTTGAGCTGGACGACAAGTTTTTTCCCAGTCAAATTCCACAAACTAGAATTGTGATACACAACAGTGAAAAAAAAGTTGCATCAACCCCAGTACCATCTCATAGGAATCGACGACCAAGTAAATGGTATTCTTCGCCTTACGAGTCTAACTTCGACTCCGCAGATTAGTGTTTTATAAACTAATTATCTATTTCCCCATGTTTTTTATATTTAAAACTCTCTATACATGAAGTCAATGAACAATAGGTACCTCAATAAAATTGACCCCCATTTTTGAAAAAAGACACCCATTTGAGGATGATTCAATAATGGGGCCGCACCCTACATTAATCATTCAGGAATACGACAAATTGGTTCGTGATGGTCTTCTTGCTAGACATGAGCAGAAGTGAGTTTTTTCCCAGTATGTCTATTACATATTTATATTTTTAAAAATGGATATAATTCCTTTTTTATATCATACTTGTAGAAGTAATTTGGAAGACCATTACAAGAAGAACAAGTCAACACTTCATATACCATTGGATTTTGGAGTTGATCAAGTCAATTCAAAAAATTGGTTTACCTTCTATCTTTTGACGGTAAACTTTGGGATGACAATGTAAGTTTTACCCCTTCCAACTCCACTATAATTCATTTCTTTAGTATTGGTTTGTCTAATTGTATAATTCACAAATTGAGCTCTAGCCCAAATTTGTCTTACATTACTTTGATGTACTTAATTGTATGCAGATGTTACTAATAAATCTGCTGTATTTAATTGTATTCAGATGTATTTTAACATTTTTTATTAGTTGTAAATGAAATATGTTTTTAACTGAATCTGTATGATGTATTTGATGGCATCATTATTCCTGAATAACTGCTGTATTTTAATGTATTCAGATGTACTTTCAAAGTTATCAGTAGTTGTAACTAACAGATGTATTACAGTACTATGTATTTATTTGGCTCATTAGTTTTGAATAACAACATGTATTTAAATGTATTCAGATGTATTTTAACATTACTGGTTAGTTGTAAACATCAGATGTATTTAACTGAATATCTATGATGTAGTTAATTGCCTCTTTATTCTTGTATATCTGCTGTAATACAGTGTATTCAGATGTATTTTACTGAATTCAGGTGTATTATTCTTGAATCTGTGTGATGTATTTAACTGAGTTTTCACTTGTCATATTCTTTTTTTTTTCTTAGTTTGATTAATTGGACTAACACTATGTAATTAAATTTGTGTATAGCATATTGACGTCATATTCTACTATCTGAGAAAGAAGGGAAAGTACAACCAAACAAGCAACTTCAAGTATACAACTGTTGATTGTATATTCAAGACAAGAATCGCTGAAATCTTCGACAGGTATGCTGATACAGATAGTAATGCTAATGTAGCCAAAGAAGAGGATGTGGTATGTGAGTACATAAGGGGCTACAGATTGCTAGCTAATGTACCTTGGCATACTGTTGACAATGTCTTGATACCAGTCAACTTGAAGGACAAACTACACTGGATATTGGATGTTGTCTCATTCAAGGAGAGATGTATCAAAGTGTATGACTCGTACAGATCTGCAGGTCATGATGCCTATGTAGCTTCTGAGATAGATAAGCTAGCTAAGCTTGTACCTCTGTATCTATCAATCATTGGCTTTTACAGAGATAGTCAAGGCATAGATTGGTCTACTTACTCAGCATACACTGACAAGTCACATACTGATCCCTTTGAAGTTGTTTTCATATCAAATCTGCCTCAACAGAAAGCTGGGAGCATGTATGTATTCAATCATCATTCTTGTATCATTTTAAAAATCTAATTGTATGAATTATTTTTAATTGTTTCAATCAACATTTTTCAGGGATTGTGGGGTGCATGTTGCGGCATACGCAGAGTTTCTGAGCACTCTTGGTGAGATTCCACAAACAACATTTGATTCCAATCTACTCCGTCAAAGATATGGTGCTCTCCTCTAGGACTATGCTATGCAGAAGATAGACGCTGATGCCATAAGCGAGAATGAAGAACCCTCAAAGATCGCTAGGCAAATCACGGAGTCAGATTCAAAGTTGCAGATAGTGTTAGAGTAGCTTTAGGTGAATGTAGTTTTGGAAGGTTGTTTTTAGGTGAATACTGTTTTTTGAATAGTTTTTTGGTGAAGATGGTATTCAGTTAGAAAAAACCATGTTTTAATCTTTATCAACAATGTTCATGTATGACAATTGTAACTTTTCAATCTATGTTTCATTGTTTTGTTCATAAGTATTCATGCTTAATCTTCAGTTTATATTCATATGTATCTTACAGAGTATGTATTAATATTCAGTCACTTGGCTTGAACAGGTTATACGTAATGAATACGTTAATATCAAAGTCAGAAACTGTATGTATATTGAACAGGTTATACGTATTTACTGAAATTGTTATATTATAGCTGAGTATATAGATGTATTCCGATGTATTCTGACTAGTTATGTATATTTAACTCAGACACTATCTATGATTGTATGTCTAAGTATATGTGGACAAGGTTGTATTCGATTGTATTCAACACAATACTACAACTAAATGTATACAGAATATAATCATGTTATATGTATTTATTGAATTTGTTATATTATAGCTGAGTATATAGTTGTATTCCGATGTATTTTGACTAGTTATGTATATAACTCAGGCACTGTCTATAATAAATTGTCAAAGTATATGTGGACAAGGTTGTATTCGAATGTATCCAACACAATACTGCAACTAAATGTATCCAGAATCTATTCACGAAAGGCATTTCAGAATTTATTACTTGACAGTGTCATCATAAGTATTGACAAATCGTTTGAGCACTAATACATGTTAGAGTGTTAACTAAATCCTACGTGGAGCATTTCTACACGTTCGCTTGTTATGTCCTCCCTGCCCACATATGCTACATGAATGTTGATTTTTCGGCTGCAGCAATTCACTTAAAGGTTTATCGCGCTTCTTCTTTGGCCTTCCAGGAGGTCTTTTCCATTTGGGTGGTAATACAACCTCCTCTGCAACATGTGCTGGTATATTCCAGTCATTTCTGTCCGGTAGCGGGTACACAGGCACATCGTATGTCATTACAACAGAATTTGGTTTGTAATAGTTAGAGCAATATTCTTCTGGCATTAGAAACTTGCTCTTCAATACAGCCCAAGCATGTGGGCATGGTAATTCATCAACTTGGAACCTCCCACAAACACATTTTCTTTCTAACAGGCAGACGGTGTAATGCCTCCCTCAATCGTTAATCGTATGTAAGTATTCAGTTGATGGTACCACCTACATTTAAACATAGAACTATAAGTTTTGAGCACATATAACTGAATTACCATATGTATAATGTTGAATTACTCAGTTACATACAACTGAAATGTTTGAATACAGAGAATACATCATATATTTAGACCGGCAGACTATAAACTATAATTACGTCTTAGCTTATGAATACAATGACATACATCAAAAATCTACCGGACTTTAGGCAACTGAAGTGTAACAAAAACATTAGAAGGCTACGACATGATAATACGTCTATCTAAAAAATTCTGTATAATACAGATTTGTCAGTTGTATTCTGATGTATTCGAATAGTTGTATTTATAAGGATTTTCAAAGTTCCCATCAGTATTTTATTCTAATTGCAATGTCTTTATTCGTTGTATGCGTATGTATTATATTAGGACATATATTTCTATCAATGATATCTTACTCCAGCTGATTTTTGCAGAATGTATTTAGTTATATTCATGTCAGATCTTCGATGAAATATGTGTTGTATGCAGTTGAATTTAGTTGTATTCATGTCAGTTGTATTTATGAAAAATGTGTTGTATTCAGTTGTATTCATGTCAGTTATTTCAGAAAACAATTAAGCTATATAATACAATGACATTAAAATAAAACTTACAGTCATGCGTGTAGACATTGCCTCATTCAAAGTCAGCATCTCCTGGTATTTTTTTCCAAGCGTTGTGTATGTCTGTGTAGCTTCTTTGCGGTTACAACAATTCCAACGTCCAAACATCTTCCTAACTTCTTCGAGGAAGTCGTATATTGGCAATTTCCTTGCTGACACTAGTGCGACATTGATTGACTCAACAATATTTGACGTCATGGTCCATCCCCTGTTAACAGGTGCATACAACCTAGCCCACTTTTCGTATCCAGCTAACTCCAAGTATTCTTTCACCCTAATATCTACCATCTCCACCTTCTCCACCAGACTGTCAAATTCAGCTTGTGTGTATACTTTTGCCATCGAGAAGTATATCTCGCTCAACTTTGCATGGCTCTTTTTGAATTTATTATATATGTTGCTCCATAGATGCCATATACAAGCAAAATGAGGTACATCTGGATACACTCTCGATACAGATTTAATGATACTCTCATTTCTATCTGAAGCGATGCACATGTTTTCCCTGTCACCGTATGCTATCTTGAATTGCTCAAAGAACCACGTCCAAGCAGCATCGTTCTCTGAATCAATAACACCATATGCTAGTTGCAATATATGACATGTAAAGATAATTGAATACATATTTTTAAAACATGTATTTCAATCTTTAAAATATTAATAGATTGTATTATAATTAACGCACTCACCTGCACCATCCGATGTGCTTGCCGAAACAAATGTCCCGGTGTAGTAAGATTTTAGGTGACTTCCATCCACAACAACAATGGGTCTACAATGATCAAACCCCTTTATAAAGGCATACAAAGATATATACACGTACATGAATTCATTTTTGGGCGATTTTACCATTTTGATGTGGGAACCTGGATATGTCATATCCATTGTATATAAGTATCCTGGTAATTTTTTGTATGAATCAGCCGGTTCACCTCTCAAAAAATTCATTGCCTTTTCTTTAGCCCTCCACGCCAACATGTAGCTAACATCTACACCTAAATCTGATTTCACATTATCAATAATATCCTTTGGGGTGTATTTTCTCTTATGATTAGTAAGCTTAGGCCTAATCATACCACATATAAGGCTGCTGCTTGCTTGTCGCTGCTCATACACCTTGTCCTTCAGAGGACATGTATGGTTATCAATGAACTCTCTCACTTTAAATAGTTCTGATTTGTTAATGCTTGAAACCTTAAACCTCCATTCACAATCTTCTGACATACATAATAATGCATAGCTGCAAAGAATTAATCATTATACATATGATTAGCATAACTGTTTACAAAAAATGCACTAATATACACATGAATACAATCTGACATGAATACATTCTGACATCTATATGTATAAATTATTATACACCTGAATTCAATTAGAGTTATATGCATTTAAATACAATGAACACAACCAAATACAATTATTTTTATATGCATTCACTTAGAAAGGACAGTAAACAAAATACGAAAATAATTAGAGACACTGTAATGTAATTATACCAGTAAAATACATATGAATACATGTATTTAAGGACCATAAACAAACATATGATAAACACATTAGTGATGATCAAGTGGAAATCCACAAATACGCATAAATACATCAACGTTTAACTTACAACTCCAACCAATAATACAAAATACAAAAAAAAAAAAAAATTAAATACACGCAAACCTGACAGCATTAGACCTATCAACCCAGAATTGAAACCTTTGCGATATAGCATAATTCTCCATCACCTCTTTCAATGTAGCCTTATCCTTATATACTTGTCCAACAATAACCTCCCTTTGACTAGTTTTTGAAATTATCAAATCCTTGTCCAGTTCAAACACCCCAATTGCTTCTCCTGAATTGACAAAATCTAGAGCAAGCGTATCACCTATACCGGAATCATACCTTTGGAGTGATTCGTCTATTTGCACAATATCGCCTTCACTTACCACCGGATACAAATTCTTTTTCAATCGTTATTATGCACAAAGGATACATCCCGAATTCTCTGTTATCTTTTTTTAACTCTACATACACCATGTAACCCATGTCATTGTGTATTTCCATTGGCGTGCTCTTCCCTTCTACTTTGTATTTAATTTTAATGGATTTTGTGCTCAAATCTATGCCCAGTTGATTAGAAATTGAAGCAACCAAATCATTATACGACGCAGACTCCTTTATCAGTATTCCCTCAATTGAAAAATCAACGTAATTGCTCTCATCGTTCCACTTGCCAGAATGACGCAACAACACTGTTAAACTTGCCATATGTATAATGGAATTATACCGTATTTTGTATTCAATTGTATCAATCGTACTTTTCCGTGGTTGAATTGAGAACTGGGAACAGAGAAAAGGGAGAAGTGAAATTCCAGATGTTGCTCTTGTTTTCGCTAATTTTTTTGTTGAATCGTGAATGGAAGAATACAGATTAATAGGTAATAGTTTTTGTTCGTTGAGTTAAATTAGGAGAATATCAGGTGATTTGATTTCCTTTCCGTTTTTAACAAGTTAAACCTTCCAGGTATTACGCAAATACGTTACTGTATTCACGATAAGGCCGCGTGAATACAGTCAAATACATATCAACCTTAGCTGGAATTCCCTTTTTTCACGCCTACTTTTGCTATTGTATTAATGAATACAATAGCTTAAATACATCAAATACATTGTATAACCACATATAAGGTATCTATAACACGTAATATAGCAAAAGGTATCTATAAATGACTAATTAGACCTAAAAGATGGTGCTTTATGAAAAATTTTCTTTTTAGAACCCAACAAATTTGGTCCGAAATTGGCCAAAAAAGCACTCCAAAGTCTCTCACAAAACTAAAACAATGTAGAGGGATCGTTGATCAAACTTATCAACGGTCCACATTAATCATGCTTTTTCCCTTTAATTTTAATCCCTCCAGTTTGTATCTCAATCGTTGGATCAACATGATCCAACGGTCACCGTTTAATCCCCCATAACTTGTTTTACTTTTTTATTATTTAAACTAAAAAAACTATGAGTCCATTGATCTAATTGATCCAAC